ATGCCAGGCAGAATTTGTCCCTAATTCTGTGTGAATAGATTAAACCCACGGATTTAGTTCCAAGAGGCATTGGCTGTGCTTGGCCTGGCTTGGCAAGAGGGAAGGCAGAGCTTCGGAGAAGCTCCAGAAGAGCTGCCCTGCACACCCCTTGCTTTGCAGCCGCTTGTGTGCACCCAGCACTGCCTGGAACGGGAAAGGGAGAAACAGTAATTTGGAGTTTAGGAATAAAAGTGCCTTTAAAGAATCTGCAGATGAGTTAACTGCAAAACTTCAGTTTGTCTCGTAGTGAGACTCTCTTTTTTGTGACTTAGGTGAAAATAATAACAGATTATTTTTGTGTATGTGCAACCAGCATTTGAGTAATTTCCTCTCATTAAGTATCTGCTTGTGTTTGCTGCAAGGCAGTGCTGGCTTTGGAGTGTGGCTCCACTGCAGTGGCCGTGTTTCGGTGTGTTCTTTCCTCTGTTCTTTCTTTCTTCCTTTTTTGGAATTTACTTGGTTTCTTTCCTTTGACTAGCATAGCATATCGTCGTGTCATTCGTGTCTATCAGTATGAAGTTGGGGATGATCTATCTGGAAGGTTTTTTTCCTCTTATTTTCTTACCTCACTTTGGTTTTCAAACGCACTCTTTAATTCCAAGGCTCGCTTTCCTTCCAACTAACTCTCACGGCTTAGAGATGCTTGGAGGTTTTATTTCCCTGTTGATTCTTTCCATGGTTGGTTCCCAGCTTCCTGCTCAGGGCTCTGGGCGTGCGCTTCACCTCTAGACGTGCGTTGAGTCTGAGCCTTAACCCTGTGGTGAGAAACACCCACACGTTTGGTGCATTTCCATTGCTACAGAGTGATTCAGCACTTGAAATCCCCTTCTCAAGAAGCTCAAAAGCATGTGGGAGAAGATATTCCAGTGAGGATGAAAACCTGGTTTTAGTGACTGAAATACCAGAGACTCAGGTTTTAGGAACTTTAAATATGACAGAGTCAGAGGGGGGGACAACCCACCTGCACAGTGCCCAGACTCAGACTCACTGTCCATGTGCAGGTCCTTCAGTGTGAGCTCTCACCGTACGTGTTGGAAGGACAGAGATTCCCAAACACGGCTGCCTAAAGATTGCTTGGGATCCTGGGGGGGGGGAAAGCAGCATCCAGAGACTGTCCATAGCTAGGAGATCTTGGAGACCCTGGCCACAGTGGTGACCTGCATGTTCAGTGGAAATCCCTGAGCAGAGTGGCTGTGCCTCAGCTGCTCCAGGTGCAGCGTGGAGAGGTGGGGTGGGAAAGGCACCTTTCCACCAGGCACTGTTGAGCAGCAGAGATCTGTAGCTCTCTGCAGGGATTACACCACATTAAGATTACTTTTCAACCAAACCAGTAGTTCTCACCATCTTTTTTTACCCCCGTATTCCTCCCTGTAACACACCTTTGTAGAGCTCCTGTACCTGACTGAAAAATCCAGCCCATCTCCAGTGACTCACCTGCAGTTGGTGTGTGTGTGTGCTGGGCACGGGGAGTGGGGTGGGACTGCACTAAGTTCTAATTCTGTGAAGTCCAGTTAAGCTGGTGCTTTGAGTCTGGCATGAAGTGTGGCTGCTGATCACGTTGCCTTTCAAATGGGGCTAGAAATTAACTATATATAGAAATAAAAATCAGAAGATGTTACATGTGTCAGTATGAAATAGGATGAGTCAGAATAAACAAAACACAAAAACAGCCTTTAAATACTTATAGGAGAACAATACTGCTGAAAGGATTTTTCATTTCAAGGAAGGACTGTTAATTTCAAGCCCCACGTGCCATATTTTATGGGATAAGTGCGTTCTCTCACTGTGGTTCTGTGTTTAGGTCGTGTATGGTGGAGGAGTCGGGAACGCTGGAATCGCAGCTGGAAGCCACTAAAGTAAGAAATGTGCACCTAGGGCTACAACAGCATTCCCAACTGACTTGGGAACACAGGGTGGGAAGAGAAATGTATGTAATGAGATGGTAAAATCTTAATTGATTTTTAGACATTTTGAGTACTGAAGAGACCTCTGGGATTATCTATTTACATATCTAGTATCTGCTGACATCACAAGCTATTAAACAACACAGATGTAGTTTTCCTTTTTGTTCCTTTTTCCTAAAGGAGCAGGGTAGGCCAGAGAGGATACAGTATTTTCAGCACATTTCCTAAGGTTTTTTTAGTCTGTAGAACTGGTTTGCAAGCCCTGTTGGTTTCCAATAGCATGAAGGGGAACATTGTTCTGAATCTTATTTTACAAATCACAGTGTATGCAGAAAAAGAAGAATCTAACTCTTCCTCCCCTGCCAGCCTGTGTTCTGGCTTTTTAAGGTAGTTTTTTTTTTGGTGCTCCATGATTTTTCTCCACTTTCTCCTCACAGCGTAAGCACCAGGAGATCCGAGCCATGAGAAGCCAGCTGAAGAAGATTGAGGACCTTGGAGCAGCCATGGAAGAGGCACTTATCTTGGACAACAAATACACAGAACACAGCACTGTGGGGCTGGCACAGCAGTGGGACCAGCTGGACCAGCTGGGCATGAGGATGCAGCACAACCTGGAACAGCAGATCCAAGCTCGGTACTGCCCAGCCCACATGTGGTTTAGAGGGTCTAACTGGGGGTGGGGGGGAAGACAGGAGACACAGACCTTGAGAGGTCTGTGCTAATGAGTGTCCTGTGCTCAGGCTAAGAGATGTAGGGAGCTTGTACCTCCCTGCAGAAGGATGAAGTTACCAGTTTGGGAATTGCTCCTGTTGGCCGTGAGCAATGGCAAGATCTCAATTGAATTGATTTATTCTTTAAACTGTGGCAAGTTCCGTTACAAGTGTTCCCACCCCATGTAAGGGTTGTTGGCTCCCTTGTCCTCCCCATGTGGTGCAGCCACTGGCAGATGGACTTGGAGTTCCACAGTTCAGGAACTGGTCACCAGCTTTGCTGCTTCCCTTTCAGGAACACCACTGGAGTCACTGAGGAGGCCCTGAAGGAGTTCAGCATGATGTTCAAGTGAGTTGCAGGGAACACGTGCCCGAGGAATACTTGGGAGATATTTCTGGGACGTGGATGGCTCTTGTTCGTGGGATTCTGTGATAGATCCAATGGTGGCTCCTTTGTTGTTTGCCCCACTTTGTGCTGCTCTGATCTTTGCCAGGGGGCAACAGCCTCCAGCCCCTGCTGCTGGTGGGGCACAGCCACAGCCATCCCAGAGCCTCTCCTGGGGGCACTGCTGTAGGAACTGAGAGTGCCAATGCATTCCAGCTGGGAATACAGCCATTTTTAGGATGCTTTTTAAGCAAAGGAAAAGATTTATACTTACTTTTTATGTATGTTAGATAGAACTTTTTACAGAATAGTGGGCTAGTTGTAACCTGTTCTAGTTCTCTGCCCACTTTAACAGCTATCAGGATTCAACAATTGCCACTTAAAAATGTGGGCTCTGGTTTTATGTTTTTAGGCACTTTGACAAGGACAAATCTGGACGACTTAATCACCAGGAGTTTAAGTCCTGCTTACGCTCTCTCGGCTACGACCTGCCCATGGTCGAGGAAGGAGAGCCAGACCCCGAGTTTGAGTCTATTCTTGACACTGTAGATCCCAACAGGTACGTGGGTTGGACCCTTCTGTACTGCAAAATGTGTGTCAGCATTGGCTGGAAGGTCCCTCACAGGCTGAGAGGTGTGGTTGCTTCTGCTGGGGAGAGGCTGTGGTTGTTTTCACAACTCATGTGAAAGTCTGACATTTGTAAAGAAGAAACGGACTTGAGAAAATGATCTGGTGCTGAGTCACCTGTGTTAAGACTTTCACTCCTCCCAGAGCAGTTCCAGCCTCTGTCCAGAGGACCTGGAAGTGCCATGCTCTGGGTGCTCACGCTGTGTTTTGCTGGCAGGGATGGCCACGTGTCCCTGCAGGAGTACATGGCCTTCATGATCAGCCGGGAGACCGAGAACGTGAAATCCAGCGAGGAGATCGAGAGCGCCTTCCGCGCCCTCAGCTCCGAGGGGAAGCCCTATGTGACCAAGGAGGAGCTCTACCAGGTCAGTGCTGGTTGTGACCCCCTGGGGAGAAACACTCATGGCTTTTTGTTGATGGATTTTGAACAAAGCCCAGCACTAATGGCTTGGAGGTTCATATCACTGGGGCTGAGTCAGTTCTGACCCTGCCAGGGGATCCTCTGCAGCAAACACAGAAATGCTGTAATACCCCTACTTAGTTGCTTTAACTGACAAAGAACTGCTCAGGTTGAGTAAAACAAGAGCTATTCGGAGGCCTGGGAAGGGAGTGCACTGTCCTCAAAAGCCAAAACTTCCCTTTCATCATCTGGGAGACTAGAGGGAGATGTTTCTCCAGACAGCAATTCAAAGGAGAAACTTCAGCCTAAGCTTAGAAAGTAGGAACACCTCCTCCCTTTCTCTGCCCTGCCAAGACAGCAAGTTTTTCCTGTCTGAATCCCACCAGCTTGCAGGGAAATAAAGAGGCTGCAGTGCTTCCTCGTGTCTATCACCTGTTCTGTCTTCTCTTTGGTGGGAAGACTCTGGTCAGGTGTTCCAGCCCTTCACCAGTGCCAGCAGCCAGAGCATTTCCATGCTGGGTGTAGTTGTGCTGCTCTGGTTTGTGCCCCAGGGCATGGGAAGGCTGCCTGGAACTGCCCCATCCACAGCCCCAGAGCCCGTCTCACCTCTGTGCTGTGTCTCTTCCAGAACCTGACCCGGGAACAGGCCGATTACTGCATCTCTCACATGAAGCCCTACATGGATGGCAAGGGCAGGGAACTGCCTTCTGCCTACGACTACATAGAATTTACACGTTCACTCTTCGTGAATTGATCTGAAACACTAGACCCAGAAGATGCAAAGGACATGCTCACGTTTGCTGACTGTAGCTCTGCATGTGTCTCTCTCTCTTTGTGCTCTACAATAATCAATGTTACTTTATGATGTAACCTTAAAGTGCTTAGCTTAAAACTCTTAGGGAAAAGAAACATGTTGCAGTGTGCTTCAATAAAAGTTACTGGTCGAACCACATCATCTGGTGTTTAATGGTTCAATGCAAATTTAGCTGTTACATGGGTGCAGCTCCAGCTGTGGGTTACCTGTGTTTTCCAACACTGGAACAGGTGAGTGGGGAGCTGTTCCTGGAGTCAGGGCAGGAACAAGCTTCATGCAGCTGCTGTGCTGCTGCCTCAGTCCATGCTCTCACTCGCCAGCTGCTCCAGGTGATTCATTTCCCGTGGTCCCTGCTCGGTGAAGTCTGAGCTCAGCTGCCAGACTTTGACTGTTCCAGCAGCATCCCCTGCTGCCAGGAGCTGTGCCTGCTTGCTGTTAAATTCCAAGCAGTACACGGGGCAGTGGCTCAGGGCCTGCTTCAGGGACACCATGGGCTTCCTCGTGCTCCTCGCCAGGTCGAACAGGAGCACCTCTCCTGCAGACACAGACACTCATTGCAGCTTTGTGCCAAAGGACACTGTTGAACAGGTGAGTACCTGCTTAGTCTGAGACTGAGTTATTTTTAACCTGTTCCCCCTGCTGATGGTGTCTAGGCTGTGACAGCTGACATCACTGCAAGACAGCACTGATTTAGTCTGCTGTCAGAAACCTGAAACCAGCTTGGCAAATTCTGTGAGATCTCCATTCTTTAACTCAAAAATGGTTGGGCAATTTTTCAAGAAAACTGTCCTTGTTTTAAACCATTCTGGAAGTAAATGTCAAACAAGGGAGCTGGAAATAAGTTTTAGGCATATCCTTGCCATGCTCTATCCCTGTGAATGGCCGTGGCAACAGATGTAGAGGTATTGTCAAAAGTGAAAAATAACTGACTGGTTGCCCTCGTTGCTAAAGTTAGAAATTACTCCATTGTACTAATTACACAGTGCAAACCATGGACACTGCTCTCTGCTTGTGGGATCTGCTGATTAGTACAACTGACTTGTACTAATTAACACCCAGCACACTCTTAATTTGATGCCCAAGAGGAGGCATCTGCAGGTACTTGCCTTCCCCAGATGCAGCTGCAAAGACCAGGGGTCGGACTGGAGACCAGCACACACAGAACAGGTATTTCTGTGACACCTGCAGAGCAAAGAGGGGCTGTGTCTGCAGCATGGAGTGCAAGTGAACTTGGCCATCAGTCCCACAGCTCAGAAAGAGGTTCCTGGGGGAGGGAGGAAGCAAGAAAGAGCGCTTTTTTTCCTTTATTGCTAAAGATATGGAACAAAAATCAGTCAAGGAGCATGACCTCAGACAATATTCCTGCTTTGTAAAGGTCTGTGTGTGTTTCCTAGAGCAGCAACTGCCAAGCTGTGCCCTGGGCTGTAGAGATGCAGCTTTGTTACTGCCCTCAATTAAACTTAATGAGGGCTTGTGTTGACCAGTGAGAGTTGCTGGTGGGTTGTGGGCCAGGGATGCCTGAGAACTGCTGATCTAGAGCTGGGCATTGTTCGAGATGGGTTTGTCTCATGCAAATTAAATGCAAACCTGGGCTGTCAGCATGTTTCATGCTTGGGGCCTCTGTGGATGGTGGGTGAACTGCTGGCAGAGATGGGAGCTTCTCATTTAAATTCTGGCAGCAGCTACTGTTGAGATTTCTGGTGTCAGAAAATCTTACAGGTTTAGCAAGATACTTAGTGATCTGCCCAAGTAAAGGACTTTAGCAGCTCCTACCCTTGTCTTTAAACTGATTTATAATTGTAACAACTGGGATGATCTATGGGAGGTGTTAATGTTGCTTATGTGCCCACACAAAGCATTCGTGGGCAGCTTCACCAGAGCCAGGGGACATTGTTTCTACTATAACTAAAGTTCACAATGCCAGGTGCCACTCTTTTGGAACTTGTACACACACCCCAGGGGCTATTTGAGAAACGTGTTTTAGAGCCAGGGTAACTGTGTCCAACATGCAGCACTTGCCTGTGGAAGGGCGAGCAGCTCACGGAGTAGACGGGCCCAGCGTGGGGGGAAAAGGCGAGTTCCACCGGCGCCCTGAGGGGAATGGAGCTGCCCGGGGGAGGGAGAGCTGGAGTCTGAGCTGCAGTGGAGCACCTCAGGGAATAGCCCCCCTCCACACCCACCACAAACACGTGGGGATCGAAGGGGGAGAAGGACAGCGAGGTCACCCCCATGGCTGCCTCTGCCCAGGCCAACTGGGAGAAAAGAGAGAGAGCTGGTGTGAGCACTGGGGCTCCAGGGAAAGGCAGACCTGGTCAGAGTAGCTCAGCCCAGCCTGCCAGGGACCCAGGGCACTGCTCAGTAACTGTTGCTGCTGCATCCTCCTACAGAGGGATTCATGTGAATTAATATTAGAAGCAAGTTCTCCATTCCAGCAGCTTCTCTTTAGAGCATGGCAAAACCTTAGCTGTTGCCAGCCTTCCAAGGGTGATTTCAGTGTGGGAAAGGAGATGGGGATCAAGGGTTAGCGTGCGTGTTCAGAATGAGATTTTCCTGGTCCTTCTCGTGTGCAGGGTGAGCTCTGACACTTGGGCTCTGGGGTTTAGAGTGTTTTTGTAGGATCAGCTCGTTGAGCTGCTGAACTCACCTTCTTCAGCCGAGTGCTGCGAGGGATCTGCTGAGCCAGCACGGCGAATCCATCGGCCAAGGCCAGACGCCCATCCCGCTCCTCCCTCCACACCAGGATCTTCCCATCGGTGGACACGCTCAGCAGCCGGGAGTGGTGTCTGTGCTTGGTGTCAGGTAACCAGTGAACCTGTTCCAAATGCCACCAGCTCAGGTGGGGGACTGTCACAAAGGCCCAGCCCACGCTTGGCTGCCAGCGGTGCCTGGACCTGCCAGGACAACACGAGAGCGGGGCCAGGCAGCAGCCACTGAGCCTGGTACCAAACCAGCTGCTGCTGGGACTGGCACAGACACAGATGCGAGGAGAGAAATCCATCCAGGTGTTCAGGCCTGAATTCTCTATTGCAGTTTCTATGGTTCACTGCCCTCACTTTTGGGATGGGGCATTTATGGCACTTTCACCCAGCTACAAACAGCAACGTTTTCCTCCCTTTCAGATGAGGAAATACGGACTGGCCCCAGAAGGACAAAATCCTTAGGAAGCCAGACTGAATGACATGCTTGTAAATCCCCTCAGAGCAAGGGGCTTCAGGCTTCCACCCAAGGATCTACTTGTGTTCTTAAACCATCACAAGTATTGTTGGCTGCGTCAGCATTAATAATTAGTTATGTGTGAATGAACCTGCTCTTCAATTACCCTGGACAGAGAGAAGTGATTTTTTTACAGGTAAATGTCTGTTCAGGAGCTAGATTTGGGGGAAAATAGCCAGCAAAAGAGACTGCTGCTGAAATGCAGCAGCTTGGCTGTGGATAGGAAGCAAAGGGATGACAGAGCTGTGGCAACACTCACCTCCCCCAGCACTGCCCGCTGTCTATGATCTCTGTTACCTGATAGACTGGGTCAGTGTGGGTGTCATCTGTCATCCCTGTCCTCCAGATCACAGGGTCTTCTGTCCTGCTGGTGTCCCACACCATCAGCTCCCCACTGAAAAGGCCACCTGAAAGGACAAAGATAGAACATCTCAAGCCTGCTGGCTCAAACAAACACACAAATGGAGCTGTGGTGGGAACAGACCCAGCTTCAAAGGCTGGGCAGCTCTGGACAGGGCACAGTCTGCCCTGGTGTAAGAGAACATTGTTCTGCTGAAATAAGTATGTTCTTCCCTTACACCCCAGGCTGGATTTCCCTCTGTCATCTCTCTCTGAGGAGATGATATAAAGGCAGACATCACTAGAGGCAGCAAGTCCCAGTTCAGAGGTAACTGCACTTATCTGTGTTGGTGAGCACTAGATGAGTTCCTCAGTTTGAGGAGCTGCAACACTGTTCTTTCTGCAGGAAATCTGAGGCTGAGCTCAGAGCCAGAAACCAAAGGATCCAGGCTGCAGGAAATAAGGGTGTGTTTCAGGCATGGTCTGAGGTAAGAGCAACCCACCAGCTATCAGTGAGGGCTGGGAGGGGTGGAAAGCCAGGCACATGACAGAGCTGGGAACATCCATCACCAGGTCAGGGTGCTGTGGATTCAACCCTCTTCTGTCCAGATTCCAGGTACAAACGTAGGATTTTTCCGTGCTCCAGTCCCCATCATCCAACCTGAAAAAGGGAAAGCCACGTCTTGCCCTGCCTGTCCCACAGAGGATCCCAGTCCAGCAGAGCTCTGGGATGCCCTGTGGGTCATTTCCATGTGCTGCTTTGTGGCCTGAAGGAAAACTGAGGTGAAGGGATCACGAGGGGATGGATCTCTGTGGGCTGGTTTATACAGTGTGTGCCAAGGCCATCGTCTGTGCTCACAGAACAAAGTGCCAGCCAGTAAATCTTGGGTATGATTCCCTATTCCAAGGCCTACTCACCATGCAAATAATGGGAACAATCAAAAGGGTGCATATGGAAAGTTCAGGGAAGGGAACTCTACTCAGGATACCCACAGACACAGAAACCACATTCCCATCTGCAAACAGCTGTAGACTGGGAGAGCAGAAGGAGCAACCAACATACAGGTTTGCCCTGTTTTACTCTTCCCTACACATTCCCTCATGGGATACCCCTTTTGCTGGGGTTTTTAATCAAAGGAAATGGGAGCAGAAGGAAACAAGAGTAAGGGCAGCATTAGGGCCCAGGAAGAGGAGGCTGTACAGACATTGTTGAATTACATGAATGTTTTGTCCAAGCCTCATTTCAGAAAGCCTTGAATGTGTGTCAGTTCATGTCTGTGGCACTGGGCATGAACAGGTGCCAGGTTCATCCAGGGTTCTCAGAGACCACATGAAACACCACGATCTCAGTGAAGATAAAGCACAAACCCCACCTACAGATATTTGCAAGTGCATCTGCTCTTTACATATCCCTTCCAAACAGAATCTACCTAGAAACAGTAAGATCATGTATCCGTTTTCAGGGCAGGGGGAAAGGTAGAAGAAATAAGACATAATTTTGTTACTTTGAAGATGAATTATTTATATATGTGTTAGTTTATTACTGACAATAGAAAGCAAACATATCTAGACCTGAGGTCAGCCTGAGGTGTCCTATCAGCCTCAGCTGCACTCCCAATCCACCCAGATACTCACCGGCCATAGGAACAGGCGATGACAGATCCCGTGGCATTCCATGAGACACTGGTGACCTGCAGGTTTTTATCCCGAGCCTCTGGGTATGACAAGGTATGCAAACACAACACCTGGGAGAGACCAAATCCAAGCACTGAAGCAGCACCCTCTGAACACAGAGACATGAGCTCTGTGCCCACCTCTGTGCCCATCGTGTTGTTACAGCCTGGGCTTCCCTCTGCCCAAGGACTGATGTGAAAAGGTTGTTGAATTCCTACTGGGGAAACAAAGCCCCAGCACAACCCTACCAAATCAACTGTCACTCCATTACTGCCTTTCTCAGACTGCACAGCTCTGGAAGGCTGTGCCTAAGGATTCACAGCACCCCCCACGTGTGAGTCTGGCACTTGCTGAGTGGTTTGAAAATGCCAGTCCCAACGTTTGCTGTCTGATACAAACTGCTTCCATTCCTGAGCACTGTGCTCTAAACAAATAGAATCTAAGTAAGAGCTGCCAAATCACTGACTGCAACTGTTCCTAGATCCCTGCTAGGCTGGAGTGCTCTAAAGGCACTGAAGAGAAGCCTGCACTGATTGCAGCCTTCCTTCTCACACCGCTGCTACAACTCGGTCACCAGCAGGAATAAGTTTTACCAAGCAAGGAGAAAGGTGGAACACCCCCCCCCAAACTAATCCAACTTATAATGTTTAATTATTAGAACCTGGCAAGAACAATCACAGCAGTCAGGAATAGAACTAATGAGTCAGAGCCACTGCAACCAGCCCTGCTTGGGCAATGACAAGGGTCTGAATTCTGCCACTTACTGTTTCATTCTGATCTGTCCAGGTCACTTCAAAGCCATCAAAGGCACGGCTTTCCGAGTTTTTATTTAGCTCTTTGATAACAGCATTCTCCACTCTCTGAAGGAATGACAGAAGGCCAGTGTAATCTACTTGGACTTCTTGCTGGAAGTCTTGGAGAGCATCTTTGCCCTGTTCCGTCTGCACTGCAGCGTCCTGGCCTGTATGAGACTGTGCTGCAGCTTCTGCTGTGGAAATTCTCCCAGTCTGGCAGCTTTTCTGGTAAAAGAAGGCAGACAGTCTCTAATCTAAACAGAAAAACAAGTGTTGCACAAAGCGTTCAAAGCACCTTCTGGCGTTTCATAGAGACTTTCCAGCCCATCTGCACAGCTCTGGTTCCTGGCTAAGCACAGGTGCCTCCGTACCCGTGCAGGTGATGTATTTGTGACCTTCCCGAGAGCTGATGTGAGGCAGAGATGCCCGAATGCCAGCCAGGTTCGGGTCGTGCTCTAAAACACGGAATGGGGAGAGCTGGAGAAGGAGAGAAAGCAGCGAGCTCCGGAGGGACCGGCGAGCACCGCACAGGTGAAAGCGCCGCGTTATGACCGCTCGAAGCGCTCGGCGGCAGCTGCGGGGGCGTTTCTTTGCCAGTTCGTGTACGGGGGCCAAATCAGTAAAGGGTTGGAAGGGGCAGAGCCGGCGGGCACACACCGGCCCGCACCCGCACCGCCAGCTCCCCGCGGGGCAGGGCTCGGTCCCGGGCACCGGGACCTGCGGGGGGCCACGGAGGAGCGCGGAGGGGGCAAGTCGGGGCACGATCCCGGCAGGACCGGGGAAGGCGCGGCCCGGCTCGGCCCGGCGGTACAAAAGCGCGGAGTGAGGCCACCCCGGGGTCTCTCACCGCCTCGCAGCGCGCGCTCCGGGCGCTCCTCCACAGCGACTGCACGTCGGTGCCGGGCACCGCCAGGTCCGTGAACATGGTGAGGCCGGGGTGTGCGAGGGGGTCCCGGCGGGATCGAGAGTCCCGGAGGTTTGGGGGTCGTGGCCCGTCCCGCTCCCTCCGCCGGTTCCCATGGAAACGGGCGATGCGCGATGACGTCACCCGAGCGACGAGCCCGCCGGGCCGTGGGCGGTAAAGTGAGCCGGGCGGGGCCATGTTGGGGACGGGCACGGAGGGGCTGTGCTGGGCGGGCGGCGGCTCCGTGCGGGAGAGGGGCGCGGGCTGTCTCCGGCACTGTTACTAATGCTGTAGGTCCGGCGGCGGTTTCTCTTCCCCCTCTGGCCGCCCCCACCGTACCTTCGCTGGGGCCCGCCTGGTCCCGCCGCGCCATCGGTCCCGAGTGCCAGCACAGGCGGGAGGGCGCGGGGGCTGCCAGGAGTTAAGATGGCGGCGGGGAGGGGGCGACAAAGGCGAGGAGGAATTATCGCTAATTCCAGACACACGGGGGAATTCCCGCTCTGATTGGAGTGTCGCCGTGTGTTTGCCGAGGGAAGGGGGCCGGGGAGCCGGCTCCGAACGCGAAAAGCCCGGGGTGTGCTTGGACTCGTTGCTTTGCTCTTGCGTTGGTTGGTCTTGATGAGGGGATTGTGGTGATTTGTGCTGAGGGGGAATCACTGAGGGACCGAGCTCCTGCAATTACTGAGGGACCCAGTGCCTCCCGCCCGCCGGGCAGCCCTGGGAGTATCCCTGGTACGGGCACAGCTGGATAACAGCTGGATAACACCTGTGCTGCTCCTGTCGCATGGACAGCGACCGATGTCCCGCTTCCTTAGGTGATTATTCCCAACAGGTAGCCCTGTGCCTAGAGTTTTTTTCAATCTGCAACTCCATTGGAACCCCTTGGTGATGAATGCAGGGGCTAAATTTAGCTCTGACATGAGGAGGCACAGATGCACCAACTTAGGGGAGTTATGCCGGCTGTTGCTGGGAAGGAGCCTGGCCTGGGTGTGGGAATCAACAGAGTAGGAGCTCAGCAGTGAGTTCTCCTCTGGAGCACATGTGAATCCATTTATGTCAGAGCCAATGCAATGGCTCTTCTGAGGAATCTAAAATATTTCACAATTAATAGTGAAATAAGACTCCCTAAAACTCGTGGTAAAGAACTATTATACCCATTTTAGAGACAGCAAAACTGGAGCAGAAAGAGGTTTAGTGGCACCTCCTTCAAAGCAAATAAAAACTTCCAGTGGAACTGAATCCTCCAGAATTTCAAATCCTGGCTGTGTATTTGCTGTGATTCTTCCCCTGGTTGGTGTGAACCTTCAGGATACCTCACAGAACAGCCAAGAACATAAATGCACCCATGGGTTGGACTCATGGCCCTTTTAGCCCTGTCATCTCTCTCTGACTTGCACAGGAGTTAATCTGAATTTCCAGAGTTCAAGTTCGGCATCTCCAGCAGCAATTTATTTTTTGCCAGGTCACATGTCAGGATATGAATTACAAAACTTAATTACAAGTTGTACTCTGCTGTCCTTTCTACCAATTTTAAGGCAAGTGAAACATCTCAAAAACACAGCTGTAGAACTCTAGATTTCCAACCAGGTGTCTGTAGCTGTGGTTTTGAGTCGACTTGATTATCTTTATTTCTCATTCAGCTTTCTGTTTCCACCTTTTTTAAAACATCCATTTACAAAGGAGCTTTAAAAAACATGACTGTTGGAAACAATGTCCTGGTTTTGTCACAGCAGGAGTTCAGTCACTTCTCTGGAAAAAATACTTGAGGTCCTGCCTCAGCTTTTTCATTAAAAATCTCAACTGCTGTATCATACACCAGTGTTCTGCTGCTGGTATTGGTGAGATCCAGTCCAGCACTGCCTGAGAAAGGCTTAATTTTTAAGACATGATCTTAAAGATGCAGGACAGTGACAAGACCATCTACTCCTTCATGAGTGGAATAAATATATTTTCTATTCAAATTCAAAGACCCTATTAAAAGGACAGAAAACAAGCATTGTTGGATGAGGTTTTTCTACTGCAAATATTTAAATTCAGGAAGTAGTGGGACTTTTAAAGTTTATGTTGAATAACTGATACTAAATATTTGAACCCAATAGCAGAGTGTTTTTTTAAGAGGTTCTTCATGTTTAAGATTTATCCTCTATAAATAGACAATCTTAAGTCATCATTAAATTATCTTAAATTGGTATGAGTAGAACTGCCAAGGCATATTACTGTTTAGAAGAGGAGTAAATATTACAAGTGTGAATTAATATACAAGGTGCCTCATCATAAATATGCTAAACACAAACTGCAGTTTAAACCCTTTAAACAACTTGTCAGAGGGAACTTAAGGAGGAAAGTTTGTAGTTTTTTGAGATGGCAAAGAGATAAGAAAACTGGAATTTGAGTACCAAAGAGACCAGAAATAAATCAACATTTTTTTCAGCCAGTAATATGCAAAGTTACTGCACATGTAGAACATGTTCCCTGGAACGTGGTGCATGTCTGGGCTTTTTTCTTCCCTGAGGATGAGAAAGAAGCTAACAGCTGCAGACAATGCCTGTTCTAAGTAACCACTTTGATCCTTCTTTATTCCAGTTTCTCTGGAGTTTCAATATATCAAAGGTATTTCAAGAAATCTTATGTTGCTTTTTCTTTCTGGCCTGGCAGTATCAGATACAGGGATGGTTTTGTTTTCACTCCACGCCGGAAATAAGGGGATAACTGGGGAAGGGCTGTTCCTGGCCTGAGGCTGCCAGGTCTCTCTGAAGTGGCAGTTTTACTACAGGGCTGATCTGTGCTCTTTCCTCTCTCTGTTTCAGGAGACAAAGTGTAGGAAGTTTTCACTTTCACATAATGGAGCAAATCATCAGAAAACAAGAGAAGGTTGAGGTAAAGAGAGAACAGCGAGGGAAGAAGCACTGGGGGGAAAAGCATCAAAAAAGGACTGAGCTGTAAGGCAAGCTGCACTCTGGGGTCTGATCACTGTGACCTGAGCAAAACAAACACTCTGAGCTGCATCTCAGTAAAAATTCCCCCACTAGTGGGTGCAGTCGATGCCCTGGATTTGTGATAAATGAAACTATTCGGTTCTGTCGAGTTTCCAGACAGGCCAAACATCAGATTGTACCCAAAAATAGAGAGACGTAACTGAGCCTTCCCCTTTCACACCTTCCCCTCGGCTCCCTCCACCCCAAACAGATACAGTAAAACAACATGCACAGATCAGTCCAGCCATGAGAAAGGGCTCTTGAAACTCAGACTGGCAGGGAGGGGCTTGACACAGGATTGAAGGCACTGCCTTTTGCTGAGCGATGGTTTTGCTCAGAGGAACAGAACTTTGACATATTCTCCTTTATTCAAAACAAACCACAGCCAACCAACAAAACTCTCCAAACAACAGCAAGGGTTTGTTTCATAGAATTGTCACCCCAGGACCTACTTGTCTCCCCAGCTTGTAAAACCAGCAAGACCTAGTTCTGTTCCCTGGTTGTTCCTTTCCCAACCGTGACTGGGAATGGCCCAAGGTGACAGATTTGGTCTGGCTGAGGTCTGGGTACTGAACTATTGCCTTTGCATTAACCAAAGGATGGAATATGGAGTTTGAACTGGCTTTGTGCTGACACTTTGTGCTTGTTATGGGGATATGGACAATATCTGATCAGTTATCCCATATTTGGCTTTTGTCAGAGAGTTGTGATGTTAAAATCCACCAAACCTGAAGGCAGAAAAGGTCCCCACAATTGTCAGTGTTGAACACAATGTCTGTGCAGCCCACCAGGTGCTCAGTACCTTGGTGAGGGTTCAGGTCCTTGTGTGGACCTGAGGTGTTCTCTCAAACTCTGTGACTCCCTTACCTATTTATTCCCAGTCCATCCTAACAGGCTCATGTATTTTCTCTAATTTCAGACCTTCTTTTTCCTGTTTCCACCCCAAAATGTCCCTGCAAATGCTGTACCCTTTTTGCTTTAAAAACCTATTTCTCCCTCTCATCAGAAAACATGTTGCCTCATTTCTGATGTCCTGTTACACAGGGACATGATACATTATCCAAAGTATCCATCTCCATTAAAATCATGGATCTGCTGTGCTCTGCAGAATTACAGTAGGGGACTCATAAAATACAGGTGCAATTCCTTACCCTGTGCAGGTATTGTTTATCCCACATTCCTTCCTTGATGATTAATAATAAGACAGAGATTTTAGTGGAGTGTAACCAGACCAGGAGGGAGCTGGGGGAAGGTTTTGTGGCAGGTGGCAGCAAGTCACCACCACAGGGGCACAAAGGCAGTGCCAGCAGGGTTGGAACCGCAGTGGGGCTGGCACGGGGCCGAGCACCGGGGATTGTCCAAGGAGGCATCTGTGAAAGGCTCAGGATCCCGAATCCTGGCTGTCATGGGGCTCTGAACTTGGTGGCAGCTGGGAGCCTCTGCCTTGGGCAGGGCCTTGGGGCTGTCTCAGGGTGATTGGCAGCATCTCTCCTGGTTTGGGCTCAGCAGCCTCCAGTTCCTGCTGAGTTCGTAGCAGCACGTCCAGTATCTCATCCCAGACATAACGGTACAATCTGCTGTGCCATTCCTAAAAGGGACCTGACCCTTTGCAGTGCTGAAAACACCCAGATCCCTTAAATTAATCCCTTTTTTAGTAACCATGCATGACTAAAAATTAGTTATCTCTTCTGTACATCACTTCATCAACTCGTACTATGTCCACTATCTCAAACAGCTATTGGAATTTCAATTGCTATGTCTGAAGCAGCTGGTTATCTCAGGAGGCATTGTGGACAGGTATTGCTCATCTGAATAGAACTAGTTCTCCTTTGCAGAAGTGTTGTTTCAAAAAAAGACATTCAGAAATAAGTAGTTACATCCCACTTGGGACCATCAGATCTGTGCTTATGTAAAGCAAGCAAGCAGAATTTGCATGATAGTTCTTGATTGCTCTTCAGAAATCTGTATATTTGTTTAATTTCAAGCACACTACTCTCATTTCTTAAACATTATTTCTATGAACAATGAGTGATCAGTAAATACATCATAGCTTTACTGGGATACAGAGATGCAATGTAAGAGTGGAGAATAAAATAATGCTCCTACCATGATGTCAACTAATACAGCAAGAAAGAGATTTGCAAGGACTCCTCTTACTGGTAGAAATTTCACCTCCATTTAGAGAATTTGCATATTGCCACGCTAGCTAGACCAGCAAAATCACTTAGTGTGAAAGCCACTTCTGAAATGGCAAATAAAAATAGCTCATTTTGATTGGTTTGTTATCCTGAGTACAACGGGGATCCCAAAGGGTCCTGGAGCATATTATACAAACACACAGAGCTAACTTCACAAAATTATGCACTGCAGGAAGATTATCACCTTCTCAAAAGCACATGGAAGATGAAGAGAAGCAGAATATCTTGCACAGACAAATTGGATGTGTCAGTGTGAGTGTTTCAACTGCTGCAGAAAATGCCAAGTGATTTGTAAGGATCACTTTCCTTTTATCGCCTCCCTTTATCTTGTAGCAGTGACAGTCTGGGACTCAGAAATCACAGAAGGAACCACTAATGCAGCCCATTTCTGTAACTTTTTTCTTCACTATATATGTGTTCCTAAAACAAAAACTGATCTCGGTCCCACTTAAAAAAAAAAAGAGTGAAAACATGACAAAACAGGGCTTAAGCTGCATGACTGTGGCTCTCTGTGGAGGAGTGTAAAAGACAATTGCCCCAGTTACATGCTGGTTTTGGAACTCCATGAAGCCTAAGCCTATTGAAATATATATTTGGGAGTGGAGGGGAGGGAGGATGCTCTGGAATGAGGCCTGGAGCTGGAATGCTGTCGTAAAGGCAGCAGGAGGAGGGAGAGCCATAAACTGGCTGCGATCCCCAAATTCAAAAAAAGGTCCGGAAACATTTTCATGCCAGATTATGTGACACCTTTCAGTCCTGGTTTTTATTTTTTTTCTGTTGTCCTTAGTTCTCCATCTAGTTGACTGAAACTTTTCCTATTTATGCCCCCAACTGTGCAAGCTGGGTTGACTAAAGGCATTTTTATTTTTCTCTACTCCAGCCTGACAAAGTCCTGCTTATGCAACAGCTTATACCTTTAATAACAGCAATATAACTGCATCAGAACTAAAAAAAAAACACCCAGATTTCTTAGCACCAAGGCCTGAGAGAACTTGCTGCTGTGCTGGGATGTGACAGGAGGCAATTTATAAGGAATTAACTCT